AGGAAAGTTAGGAATTATGGCAAGAGGCCACCCTGGCTTAACCAGGGGATCTTCAATTATCTGAAACTCAAAAAAGAATCCTACACAAAGTGGAAACTAGATAAAATTACGAAGGATGAAAATACAAAATACCCAACACAAGTATGTAGGGACAAAATTAGAGAGGCTAAGGCATAAAATGAGATTAAACTATCTAGAGACATAAAAGGTAACAAGAAAACGTTCTACAAATACATTAGAAGCAAGGGGGATACCAAAGACAGGGCAGGCCCATTACTCAATGAGGGAAGAAAGACAACACCGAAAATGTGGAAATGGCAGACGTGCTAAATGCTTTTTTGTTTGTTTTCACCAGAAAGGTTTGTAGCGATTGAACGTCTAACATAGTGAATTCCAGTGAAAATCAGGTAGGAATTGAGGCTAAAATAGGGGAAGAACAAATTAAAAATTAGACAAGTTAGATGTTTTCAAGTTGGCAGGGCCTGATGAAATACATCCTTGGAGCTGACAGAGGAGATATGAGCCATTAGTGATCATCTTCGAAAAGTCATGGAAAATGGAAGAGATTACAGAGGACTGGAAGAGGGCAAATATAGTGCCAATCTATAAAAAAAGGGGAATAAGGACAACCTGGGGAATTAGAGACTAGTCATCTTAACATCAATACCGGGAAAGAGAATGGAGCAAATAATCAAGCCATCAATTTGCAAACACCTAGAAGATAATGTGATAAGTAACAATCAACATGGATTTGTCAAGAGCAAATCTTGTCAGTCCAACCTAATAGCGTTCTTGAATAGACTAACAAGCCTTGTGGATGGGGGGAAGTGGTAGATGTGGTATATCTTGACTTTAGTAAGGCAATTGATACTGTCTTGCATGATCTCATAAACAAATTAAGGCCACGTCTATATGTACAGTGGTGCAGCTGTACCAATACAGCTGCGTTCCTGCAGCGCATCAGGTGAAGATGCTCAGTGCCGACGGGAGTGAACTCTCCTGCCGGCATACAGAAAACACCACTGTGATTGGCTGTGCACATAAGCATTTATGTTGGTGTAACTTATGTCCTTCGGGGGTGAAATATTCACACCCCTGAGCAACATACATTTTTGCTGACAGGCCGTAGTGTAGACATAGCCTAAGGAAATATAACCTAGGTGGAGCTGCTGTAAAATGGGTGCATAACTGATTGGAAAACTGTTCCCAGGAGTAATTATCAGTTGGAAAGGCATATCAAGTGGAGTCCCGCAGGGATTGATTCTGCGTCATTTTCTGCTCAATATCTTCATCAATGATTTACATAATGGCTTAGAGCAGAGGTCCCCGAATTGTGGGATATGCCCTCCTAGGGGGGTGTGGAGGGATGTTTGGGGGGTGCAGCCAAGGCCCAGGCCAGCCATGCACCACCCTCCACCCTGGGGGGAACAGGGAAGGAGCGCCACCCAGTTCTGCTCCGGGCCGTGGCCCCGGTTTCTGGCTCTGGGGCCCTGGCTGCCAGCCTTGGCCCCTGGCCGGGGCTCTGCTCCTGCCCCCAGCTGTGGCTCCAGCCTGGGCCCTCCTTACCCAGTCCTTGCCTCCCCACAAGCTGTTTCCCTGTTCATGGCCCCAGCTAGGGCGGGCATGGACAGGGATAAGTGGGGGATGCGACCCTGAAAAGTTTGGGGACCACTGGCATAGAGAGTACACTTATAAAGTTTGCGGATGATACCAAGCTGGAAGAGGGTTGCAGGTGCTTTGCAAGGATAGGATTAAAATTCAAAATGATCTGGACAAACTGGAGAAATGGTCTGAAATAAATAGGCTGAAATTTCATAAAGACAAATGCAAAGTACTACACTTAGGAAGGAACAGTCATTGCACACATTCAAAATGGGAAATGACTGCCTAGGAAGGAGTACTTCGGAAAGGGATCTGGGGATTATAGGGGATCTCAAATTAAATATGAGTCAACAGTGTTACGCTGTTGTTAAAAAAGGAAACATCGTTCTGGGATGTATTAGCAGCAGTATTGTAAGTAAGCCAGGTACGCAAAGTAATTCTTTCACTCCTCTCTACACAGATAAGTCTTTAATTGGAGTATTGCATTCAGTTATGGGTGTCACATTTCATGGACAAATTGGAGGAAGTCCAGAGGAGTGCAACCATAATGATTAAAGGTCTTGAAAACATGACCTATGAGGAAAGATTGAAAAAATTGTGTTTGTTTAGTCTGGAGGAGAGAAGACTGAGGGGAGACATGGTAACAGTTTGCAAGTACATAAAAGATTGTTACAAGGAGGCCAGTGAAAATTTGTTTTCCTTAACTTCTGAGGATAGGACTAAAAGCAATGGGCTTAAATTGCAGCAAGTGAGGTTTACGTTGGACATTAGGAAAAGCTTCCTAACTGTCAGGGTAATTAAGCGCTGGAACAAATTGCCTAGGGTCAGCAGGTTGTGGAATTTCCATCACTGGAGGTTTTTAAGAACAGGTTAGACCAACACCTGTCAGGAATGGTCAAGTTCAGAGGTGGGCAAACTACGGCCCACAGGCCACATCCGGCCTGCGGGACCGTCCTGCCCGGCCCTTCAGCTTCCGGCCGGGGAGACTAGACCCTGGCCCCACCCGCGCAGCCTCCGCTCACCATGCTGCCAGCGCTCTGGGCGGCGAAGCTGCGAGAGCCGCCAGGTGCAGTGTATTAAATTGCTCCCTGTAGGAATGTGCTACTTATGGAGCACCAGGACTGGCAGCTGTAAGTAGTACACAGTAAGTAGCACGTTCCTATGGGGAGCAATTTAATACACTACACCTGGGTAGGGAAGGCTGTGCCTTCCCAAACAGCCTGGCTCCTGCCCCCTATCCGCCCACTTCCCACCACCGACTGCCCCCCTCAGAACCCCGACCCATCCAACTCCCCCTGCTCCTTGTCCCCTGATTGCCCCCTCCCGGGACCCCCCTGCCTGTAACTGCCCCCCCCCCCGGGACCCCACCCCCTATCCAATGCTCCCTGTCCCCTGACTGCCCCTATCCATACCCCCGCCCCCGGACAGGCCCCCTAGGACTCCCACAGTTATCCAACTGTTCCCTGACTGCCCCCCAGGATCCCCTGCCCCTTATCCAACCCCCCCCGCTCCCCGCCCCCGTACCATGCCGCTCAGAGCACCGGGACTGGCAGCCGTAAGTAGTACACCGTAAGTAGCACATTCCTTTCGGAACCCTGGTATGGCCCTCAGGCCAAAAAGTTTGCCCACCCCTGGTCTAGTTATTACTTACTCCTGACCTGAAGGCAGAGGGCTGGACTAAATAACCTGCTGAGCTCCCTTCCAGTCCTACACTTCTGTGATTCTATGATAGAAAATATCCTTTGCCTAGAAATACCTCCATCTAGTTCTTACCTTAAACCTGTGAGAGACCAGTTGTTGAGGCTATTGTAACTGGAGGCAGAACTGGCTAAATGGATTTCCCCTCCCTATTAGCATGCCCATTGATGTGGTACAATGGCAGTAGCCTGAATCCTCCATTCTGATTGGAAGTTGCGTGCTAGAAAGACCTACACTTATAAAGGGAAAAAAATTGCTGACTGTTGTGAAAAGTCCCTTGTGTATTCTCTTATAGACTCCACACAAAATCTGCCCCACTTCTTTCTTCTCTTGTCTCAGTTTGGGTTAAAAATAATCTCCCTAACGGATTTTCTACTCTGGGAAATTATATCATGTTAGACTACAACCCTGAGGAATCATGTTAATTAACGTGGTGTGAAACAGTGCATACAGGGACTGTTGTGTTTAACATTGTGTCAGCTGGTCATGGCTAACCCTAAGGGTCACAGGCTCAAAAAGTTAAAATAACATTAATTTTTGTCACCTTGTGGCTTTTTCATCACAGCTTTCAAATGCAACTGGCCTTTCCTAATTTCAGTGATGACAACTGCAGAGGAGGTATCTATCTTTGATATTTTAATAAAAGGCTGAAGTATATGAGGCTGCTAAGGAGACTCTTAGATCTATGTGTACTGGGAAAGTACATCCTATTGGAACCCTGGGGAGTTGTGGGAACTAACACAGTGTTAAACACAACTGGGGATGCACCATAGCAGAGAACATTGTGCGTACCATAGCATCAGCTGGTCTAGGGTCTACCACAGTTCTGATTTGGATTTGACTCAAGATAGTGGAAATATCTCAATAACAGTTCACAGGATTTTCAGCTCCATCAGCTTCAAATCCAAAATCTGAATCCTAGCCAAAACCTAATGCAGATCTCTGTGCCACATCTTCAGCCTACCTATAATGATATTCTCCAGTCTGAAGGCAAAAATCCGAGTAACCTTTTTGTTATTGCCACAAGGAGTAATTAAGTATCCTTTGGCAAAAATAAAACTTGCTTTAGGTCCATAACGTTTTTTTAAATAACTTCTATATTTCATCATGTTATGCCTCCATCTGAAGACTAAAAGGTGCAGTGTTCAGTAAAATCTGCTAGGGGGTTGAATGTTTTTGTCTGTCATATTTCCATAGGAATTGGAGTTGAATGTATGCAGTAGCATTAGTAGAATTGTTAGTCATAACATTATAGCAGTTTTTATATTTTTAAATACAGCATACAAGCTAATTTTGCGTGCTGGACCCCAGATTTGGTGCCTGAAATGTAACTCTCATGTTGTCAGGGGCTGGAAGTGGTATGGAGATATTACATTCCGCCCCTCTATGTATGGTGTGTGGTTAAGGCAGGGAAAGGGGAAAGTGATGTATGCTCCTTACTAACAAACCTCCTCGAAAACAATGGAAAATGCAGGGGTGGGGGAAAGGTTGCTACAGTGAGCGAGGTGTAGTAGACATATACCCATATAACCACCCCCCACCCAATAAATCTGTAAATTATATATTAAAAAAATACAATTGACATTTTATATCTGCTGTTTGACTTGCAGAGCATGGCAGAGATCAGATCAGTCGGTCTAAAGCTCTGAAAGGATTACTTTTGTGCTGTTAAAATCTTGTAATATGTGCTAATCTTCCAGAGCTATGTCCATCTGGGATAACAGTCTACAGATTACCACGATGTGTAGCATAGTGGGAGCATGGCTTGGAGCATTTCCTATTCCTCTGGATTGGGATCGGCCTTGGCAGGTTAGTCTTCATACCTTGTAAGTGTATTCACATTCGTTTGTTGCAGTGTGAGAACTGAACAAAAAGGAGGGAGACAATAAAAGTATATTAGAGGTGCTAGCATGAAGCTGCTAATGTAAGGTAGCCAAATCCCATTTAAGAACTGTATAATAAATATCTCTTTTCCAGTATCCAACATGCAGTGTTTTTACTACCTCTTTCAGTCGGTTTTGAAGTGTTTTGTGTGTGTCTCTGTGTTCATGTGCTGATACTATCAGTAGATTCTTGAAGAAAATCACACTGAAAGCTAATATTCAGAGCTTGATATTGAGGAGTTACACAAGCAGGAAGAGAAGAGCAACATGACACATGGCAGGGAGTGTATCCGCATTCAGTTTGTGGATAGAAAGCACTGCTTTTATTGTTTATGGGGAGAGGAAGAAAGATGCTTTCCAAGTGTTTCAGCTTCCCTGCACCTTCCATTAAAGCACTTAACGAAATGCATTTAAAATTGCTATTGGCTTAATATTGATTTGTGGAGTTTGGGTGGCCAAATACCTCTGCTGAAAATTTACCTTACGATTTCAAAGGAACCACTGGCAAGTAGCAGCTACTTTGTTGCACAGTAAAAAATGGGAAGCTGGCACTGCAGAAAAATCTGTAAATTCGGCAGTCTGCACTATTCCATTTTGACTTTAATTGCCATGCAGAAAGGATCTCTCCAGCTGTTACCTAAATATGTAAATGTTCTGAGATGATTCTTAGTAATAGCTGTTGGTGTAATTAGAAAGAAACCACTACTGCTTTCCATCCTAGTGAGGTGCTACCCGCTTACACTAAATCCATCAGTATTTGCCAACCCTATAATGCTACTAGTCAGATGGAGTTCAGACGCCGCCTCTTCCAGAAGCTAGTAGGGCAGCCCAGCACCCAAGTCTCTCTCATCCTCATAAAGCATGGTGATTTATACTCCTATTAGAGGGTTTTTTCCAGAAGCAGCTGAGCAGGTTACCTTTGTGTCAGAAGCCTTTCTTTCGATCAGTATAATTACATTTTTATTAAACTGTCTTAAATATCCTAAGAAATCAGAATAGCAGATGAGTGGTTTAGTAGTTTAAGAATAAAGTTTGACTTGACTCCCTGCAACTACATATTTTAAACATTGGAGCATGTTTCACCGTTCCCGCCTCTTGAGGGTAGGTGCTTGGTAGTATCATTTAGTGTATCATTTATGTGGTTTCTTTTATGAGACCTTAAAATCAATGGGCTCAATCCTGTAAAGTGTGCCTTGTGCAGGGCATCCTCATCTCCTGCTGACTTTAGTGGATGTTGAGAATGCTTGGCACTTTGCAGGAGTAAGTATGGAGATTTTGCTTTCCCTGCTTTGACATTAATTAAATTCCCCTGTCATTTTCTAAAAGTCATGTCCCTGTGCCATGATAGAGGTACATAAAATCATGAGTGGTGTGGAGAAAGTGAATAAGAAAAAGTTATGTACTTGTTCCCATAATATAAGAACTAGGGGCCACCAAATGAAATTAATAGGTAGCAGGTTTAAAACAAATAAAAGGAAGTTCTTCTTCCCTCAGTGCACAGTCAACCTGTGGAACTCCTTGCCTGAGGAGGTTGTGAAGGCTAGGACTATAACAGGGTTTCAAAGAGAACTGGACAATTCATGGAGGTTAACTCCATTAATGGCTATTAGCCAGGATGGGTAAGGAATGGTGTCCCTAGCCTCTGTTTGTCAGAGGGTGGAGATGGATGACAGGAGGGAGATCACTAGATCATTACCTGTTAGGTTCACTCCCTCTGGGGCACTTAGCATTGGCCACTGTCGGTAGACAGGATATTGGGCTGGATGGACCTTTCGTCTGACCCAGTATGGCCGTTTTTATGTTCTTATGCCATAGGTCAGAATGCACCCCAGCCTAGAAACCCATGTGTGTCTCATCCTCCTGACCAGGGTTTTTCCAGGCTACATAGTTCCCTGCCTACACTATGAGTTTCCCAGCAAGACAGACTGCCTAATCAGGCCTGCTTTGCTTTCTCATAGAGGCTATGAGCAGCATAATTGCCCACAGCTGAAAGTTACCACATAATCCTTTCTAAGCAAGCACATTTACTCTTAAGGTGAAAGCATTACAGAGAAAACATATTGAAAACAATAAAAGAACCTACAGGCAGGCTGCTAAACTTACCAGAGATCACCCCCAACTCTAGCAAGGGTTCTGGCATGTGATCAATCCTTCAAACTCCACCAAGGCGTTTTTCTGTGGTTATGAGTTCATAGCAGCTGTTAGCTCAGAATAAGCACCTCTGTGAATCATTCATTCTTTTATTTATGCAGTTTGGGCCTTTGAGCTTGTTCTCATATAACAGATGATCAGCAGACAAATGTCCCCTCCTCAGGGCAAAGCTTCAAAAGGCTTAGTTCTTGCATTACTGGAGGAGGTACATTAGCATGCACATTTTCCTAGAGATTTCCTGGGAAACGCTGTTCAACTTTTTGTCCCAAAAGTTGTTCTTGTCTAGCACATTGTTTAAAATAGTCTTTTGAAATTCATAACACTTCCCAGGGTTTGTTTACATTGGCCATGTCTCCCTTCTACAGAAGTTACATACAATCCCACAAAACTATAAAAACTTGGCATTTATAATACTATGGACTTCCAAAGCTATTTAAACTTAATTCAGTTAGCTGTCCCAAAGATATTGCAGGAAATTGCCATATTTGTCACAGTGTGCACCAGTCTATGTGGATACAGCTCTCCACCCCAGAGAAAACTGCATTTCACTGTGTTTGCGTGTTGTATGTATAGGGACAGATTTTTGCATTTCCCATATCTTTATGTTGTTTACACCCATGCAAAGAGTGTATATTGCTACCAAATCAGCATGGTAACAATTTACATCCACTTTGCACTGGTATAACCAAGTTTGCAAGGTGAAGTGCAACAGAGAATCTGACCCTAACAATGTACTTTGGTCTATGGGATGAAAGTTGTTGTATACTTGAAAAATACTTTATTAATACAGTATTGCACAAGATCTAGGTCAGAATAGAGACCTTATATTAGATAATGTATGTCCTGAAGACTTCATTAATAAATTATATACACAACTTCCCATAAGTTGTGCAATATGTCTATCTTATATACCAATAGTGTGAGCTGAGATATAAAAAATGGATAGATTCTGATGAACAAGACACACATATTCATTAGATAAGACAGATAATGTAAATAAATGTAATCCTTGATTATACAGCTCCAAATGTTGACATGTGGGAGACCCAAGTTTGGCAGTATCCTGGCAACTTTTTGTGTGTGTGGCTAATATAGACTTGGGTCAGAATTTTCAAACATGAGTGGCTAAAGTTGGGTTTCTGAATGTATATTCAGGCATTTAAACAGGCGTTGCCAGCTATTCAGAAGTGCTGAGTGTGACAGATATTGCGACTGCATGCTGCATCTTTCGGAGAACATATTGTATTAAGGTTATAAATGATCTGTGTATTACTGTGGGCCAGGAATTGTATGCAGCTCAGGGGAGGGGGATAATGGTTGCTTTTAGCTCCTGCAGGAACTAAAACCAGCGTGGGGTGATTAAAGTGAATCACTCATGTTGTAAATACCTCTAGAGAGGTACCATCCCTTGGGAGGCTTGCAAATACTTGTTCAAACTGGGTTTTCCAGAGACTAACAGACAAAGAAAGGTCTTTTGATATAAAAAGGCTGCATTTAAACTAAGGGCCTTCTTTCTGATACGGCAAACAGACAGGTCTTTCTGTCCCTGGGAGCCCCAACCCTTGGAAGGGTTGGAAAGACATTGGCCTACTAAGGCCCCATAAGTATGACAAGTGATTCTGGTATGTTTTAGTTTTTGTTTAAATCTGTTTGTTTTTTATGTTTTCTCTAATGCATTTACCTTAAGAATAAATATGCTTGCTTGGAAAGAACTGTGTGGTAACTTGTAACTGCTAGTAATGCACTGTTCATAGCCCTCAGAGAGAGAAAGCCAAGCATAGGTGCTGGCCTTTAGGCAGACTGGCTTGGCAGGGATATCACAGTGTAAGCAGGGAGCCCTGCAGTCTTGTCCTCCCCTCCTCCCTGCCCCTGTCACAAGAGACAGCTGATGACTGGAGATCTGAGACCTGACTGGGCACTCCTGGAATGGACCACAGGAAGTCGGGGGCTACAGGTGCAATTATCCTGAAACTGTGACACTGAATATCTGCAGTTATCTAAGTTATAGTAGCTTGTCACTTGATGTCTTTGGGCAGCAGTATTGTCCAGAACCTCTGCTGCACTATGCACTGTGGCTGCACACCTCCCTGTCCCTGATGCTCACCTCCCACCCTCATCTCTGGTATGTGCCTTATATTGGAGCTTGGGAGGGGGTCCACAAAAGACAACCTGAGGCTGTCTTCTTCAGTTCCTGTGCCAGGGGAATTCTCGGCCGTATCTAGGGTTTTCAGAGCTCCTTTGTCACTCTGGCCCAGCATATGGCAGCTTGAGCAGGGGTGAAAATCTCACCAAAATTTTGGACTTAAAGTACTTGAGTATCCCTTTTAATCCTCTCTTTCTGGGGAGCTTATGGAGTAACCATAGAGCAGACAGTTTATCAATCCTGTAGGCCATAGATAGGAGACTGCTTGTGGGGGACAACATTTTTAAATGCTAATGTTCTTTATGGCCCACTTTATAGGGGAAAGTGAAAGAAGTCTTTTTAATGCAAAACAGCTTGTATATTTGCATTTATCTGAGTAAATGTCGTCGAACACAAAAATGATACTATCCATGGGGTAGAAACCAGTCTTTATAGGCTGTTTTTTATTAACTTGGGCTTGACTTGCAGAACTTGACAATATCAATTGCATCCGATGAAGTGAGCTGTAGCTCACGAAAGCTTATGCTCAAATAAATTGGTTAGTCTCTAAGGTGCCACAAGTACTCCTTTTCTTTTTGCGAATACAGACTAACACGGCTGTTACTCTGAAACCTGTCCATATCAATTGAGAG